ATCAGTCTATAATTTTAATGGTAGGTTTATTTGAACAGTGAGAGACAGAACAACAAAAAGAAAATCCAGAAAAACGCATGTCAAAAATGTTATAAATTGATTTTAATTTTAATGAGGGAAATAATCATTTGACCCCGTCTCAATAAGAAATATTTCTTGCTCCCAGGTGTCTTTTATACAGGTAACGAGCTGAGATTAGGAGCACACTCTGTTCTTCACGTTCTACAGATGTAGATGCCACTGGTTCTTCACGTTCTGCAGATATAGATGCCACTGGTTCTTCACGCTCTACAGATGTAGATGCCACTGGTTCTTCACGTTCTGCAGATGTAGATGCCACTGGTTCTTCACGTTCTGCAGATGTAGATGCCACTGGTTCTTCACGTTCTACAGATGTAGATGCCACTGGTTCTTCACGTTCTGCAGATGTAGATGCCACTGGTTCTTCACGTTCTACAGATGTAGATGCCACTGGTTCTTCGCGCTCTGCAGATGTAGATGCCACTGGTTCGTCACGTTCTGCAGATGTAGATGCCACTGGTTCTTCATGTTCTGCAGATGTAGATGCCACTGGTTCTTCACGTTCTACAGATGTAGATGCCATTGGTTCTGCACGTTCTGCTGATGTAGATGCCACTGGTTCTTCACGTTCTACAGATATAGATGCCACTGGTTCTTCACGTTCTACAGATGTAGATGCCACTGGTTCTTCACGTTCTGCAGATGTAGATGCTACTGGTTCTTCACGTTCTGCAGATGTAGATGCCAATGGTTCTTCACGCTCTAAATATGTAGATGACACTGGTTCTTCACGTTCTACAAATGTAGATGCCACTGGTTCTTCACGTTCTACAGATGTAGATGCCACTGGTTCTTTATGTTGTACAGATGTAGATGCCACTGGTTCTTCACCTTCTGCAGATGTAGATGTCACTGGTTCTTCACGTTATGTAGATGCCACTGGTTCTTCACGTTCTGCAGATGTAGATGCCACTGGTTCTTCACGTTCTGAAGATGTAGATGCCACTGGTTCTTCACGTTCTGCAGATGTAGATGCCACTGGTTCTTCGCGTTCTGCGGATGTAGATGCCACTGGTTCTTCACGTTCTACAGATGTAGATTCCACTGGTTCTTCACGTTCTACAGATGCAGATGCCACTGGTTCTTCACGTTCTACAGATGTAGATGCCAATGGTTCTTCACGTTCTACAAATGTAGATGCCACTGGTTCTTCACGTTATTCAGATGTAGATGCCACTGGTTCTTCACCTTCTGCAGATGTAGATGCCACTGGTTCTTCACGTTCTACAGATGTAGATGCCACTGGTTCTTCACGTTCTGCAGATGTAGATGCCACTGGTTCTTCACGTTCTGCAGATGTAGATGACACTAGTTCTTCACGTTCTACAGATGTAGATGCCACTGGTTCTTCACGTTCTACAGATGTAGATGCCAATGGTTCTTCACGTTCTACAAATGTAGATGCCACTGGTTCTTCACGTTATTCAGATGTAGATGCAACTGGTTCTTCACCTTCTGCAGATGTAGATGCCACTGGTTCTTCACGTTCTGCAGATGTAGATGCCACTGGTTCTTCACTTTCTGCAGATATAGATGCCACTGGTTCTTCATGTTCTACAGATGTAGATGCCACTGGTTCTTCACGTTCTACAGATGTAGATGCCACTGGTTCTTCACGTTCTACAGATGTAGATGCCACTGGTTCTTCACGTTCTACAGATGTAGATGCCACTGGTTCTTCACGTTCTGCAGATGTAGATGCCACTGGTTCTTCACGTTCTGCAGATGTAGATGCCACTAGTTCTTCACGTTCTACAGATGTAGTTGCCACTGGTTCTTCACTTTCTGCAAATGTAGATGCCACTGGTTCTTCACGTTCTACAGATGTAGAGGCCACTGGTTCTTCACGTTCTACAGATGTAGATGCCACTGGTTCTTCACGTTCTGCAGATGTAAGTGCCACTGGTTCTTCACGTTCTGCAGATGTAGATGCCACTGGTTCTTCACGTTCTGCAGATGTAGATGCCACTGGTTCTTCACGTTCTGCAGATGTAGATGCCACTGGTTCTTCACGTTCTACAGATGTAGATGCCACTGGTTCTTCACGTTCTACAGATGTAGATGCCACTGGTTCTTCACGTTCTACAGATGTAGATGCCACTGGTTCTTCACGTTCTGCAGATGTAGATGCCACTAGTTCTTCACGTTCTACAGATGTAGATGCCACTGGTTCTTCACGTTCTACAGATGCAGATGCCACTGGTTCTTCACGTTCTACAGATGTAGATGCCACTGGTTCTTCACGTTCTGCAGATGTAAATGCCACTGGTTCTTCACGTTCTGCAGATGTAGATCCCACTGGTTCTTCACGTTCTGCAGATGTAGATGCCACTGGTTCTTCACGTTCTACAGATGTAGATGCCACTGGTTCTTCACGTTCTGCAGATGTAGATGCCACTGGTTCTTCACTTTCTATAGA